CCACCTGAATCTAGGCACCAATATGGCTCACCAAAGTGACACATCTGGGACCCTACCTCACACTGGTGTGGCTCTCCGCAAAGTGGCTCTGAACTCCCAGAGAGCAGGGTCTGTGTTAGAGGTAGATGAGAATGGGAGCTAGCCACACCATGGTCACACCAAGGGGAACATGGGTAAAAAGAAGGAATTGTACCTCTCAAGTCCTGTGTGACTCGGATCTGCTAGGCTACTTTCTATTGCCAAAGCTGCCTACAAAAGTTCAAGATAGTCATGACTCATCTGGCCAGTGGTTCACCAGTCAGTCTCCCTCTCTCACTGAACCTACACAGCTGCTCCTCCCAACAAGCATTCCGTTCACTACTCTAACCTTTCTTCTTAAATTCAGGGTTCCAGGATTCTCATCTGTGTTTGTTTCATTTAGTCTCTCATATCTTTGCTGTAGAGGGTCTGTGTGTCTGCCTAGTCCACCATCTTACAGGAAATCTCTATGTTTTGTTTTTGTTCTCTTATCTTCTTTTTGGTGTTCAGTGAGATTTCTTTTTTTTTCCCCTTCATACAAATTTTGTCCTTCTTTATGATTTCTGATCTTTTAGTAATTACCTTTGCATTTTAACACACATAGATGACAACTCTAAAGTTAACTAAGAGCTTTAGGTTTTCTGGAACAATATAGGGTCCTTTGCTGTTGTTAGGTGCCTCGGAGTCAGTTCTCACTAACGGTGATCTGGACAGTACTTAACAACAACAGCAACATAGCAGGGGTGGGGAACATTCAGCCAGTGGGCCATATTTTTGTTGTTGTTGTTACATGCCATTGAATCAGTACAGATTCTTAGCGATCCTATGCATAACAGAACAAAACACTGCCTGGTCCTGGGCCAACCTCACTATCATTGTTTCGTGTGAGCCCATTGTTGCAGCCACTGTGCCAATCCATCTAGTTGGTGGTCTTCCTATTTTTCTCTGACCCTCCACTTTATCAAGCATGATGTCCTTCTCCAGGGACTGGTCCCTCCTGATAATATGTCCGAAGTATGAGAGACCGACCAAGTCTGGCTATTCTGTCTCCTAAGAAGTATTCTGTCTGTACTTCATTCAACACAGATCTATTTGTTCTTTTGGGAGTCCATGGCACTTTCAGTATTCTTCTCCAACACCATAACTCAAATGCATCAATTCTTTTATGATCTTCATTATTCACTGTCCAACTTGCATACATATTTGTAGTTACTGAAAATACCATGGCTTGGATCATGTGCACCTTAGCCCTCAAACTGGCATCTTTACTCTTCAACACTTTAAAGAGGTTTTGTGCAGTAAGTTTGCCTAATGCAATATGTTGTTTGATTTCTTGATGGTTGATCCAAACAAAACAAAGTCTTTGGGCAAATTCGATCTTTTCTCCCTTTATATGGATGTTGTTTATTGGTCCAGTGGTGAGGATTTTTGTCTTCTTCACATTGAGATGAAACCCATACTGAAGGTTATGGTCTTTGATCTTCATCAATATGTATTTTAAGTACTTTTTGCTTTCAGCAAGCAAGATTGTTAACGAGTCTCCCTCCAATCCTGATGCAACGATTTTCTTCATATAATTCAGCTTCTCGGATTATATGCTCATCATGCAAATTGAATAAGTATGGTGAAAGAATATAACCCTGGTGCACACCTTTCTTAATTTTAAATCATTCAGTGTTACCTTGTTCTATCTGAACAACTGCCTCTTGGTCTATGTACAGGTTCCTCATGAGCACAAGTAAGTGTTCCAAATGTTGTCCATACCTTGTCATAAACCACCTTTACGTAGTCAATAAAGCACAGGTAAACATCTTTCTGGTATTCTCTGCTTTCAGCCAAGACCCATCTGACATCAGCATATCCCTGGTATCCACGTCTTCATCTGAATCCAGCTTTAACCTCTGTCAGTTCTCTGTCAATGTACCTTTGCAGTCGTTTTTGGATAATATTCAGCAAAATTTTACTTGTATGAGATGTTAGTGATAGTGTCCAATGATTTCCACATTCCTTTGGGTCACCTCTCTTTGGAATGGGCACAAACATGAATCTCTTTCAGTCCATTGGCCAGGTAGTTGTTTTCCAAATTTCTTGACATAGATGTGTGAGTGCCTCTAGTGCTGCTTCAGTTTGTTGAAAGATTTAAATTCCTACTCCGTCAGTTCTTGGAGCCCTGTTCTTTGTCAATGCCTTCAGTGCACCTTGTATTTTTTCCTTCAGGTTCATAGGCTTTTGATCATATTCTACCACTTGCAATGGTTGAACATCGACCATTTTATTTACTTTTGGTACGGTGACTCTGTGTATTCCTTCCATCTTCTTTTGATGCGTTCTGCATCATTCAATATTTTGCCCATGTTGTTGTTGTTGTTGTTGTT